ATATGTTTCAAAGGCGGTGGTCGTCGCACCGCGCATGTGCGACATTTGTGTTGATAAACATTGGTTTTCCCACAATCCAGTGCGCTCTTCTAATGAAAATTACGAGTTCGAGTTTCGACCTCGGTGCAACGTGCACTAATTACCGCCGGTGACCTTCCAATCACCAAAGAATATACCTAGCAGAAGCTTAGTAGCGTCCTGTGCGTGGCGCGACGAAAGGTTTACGAATCACCCGTGTAGATTCTCCGGCCCGCCGATGTACTGTAAGTATCAGTGTATCACGCTATCATGCAAATCGCTGAATTTGACCTTCAGTATGTTATCGGTGTCATTTAAATGAGTTCGAAATATATGTACATTATTGTATTTAAACAGTCGAAATCACGGGTACCTGTATGATTCCGTGTGCCGTTTGTTATTACCGGGGAGCTATCCCGGAGAGCTACAAACAAATGAAGGAACAACGTTTTTAAACAGCGTAAGTTCTTCAGATAAACCACTTCACGTTACCATTGCAGGGCAGTGCCTTTCAACTCGTGAAGGCGTCCGGGTTGTTATGCAAATTAGTTTCCCCAAGGCGAGTGCCGCTCTCTTTTATTACCATGCAGTTAGGCCTAGGCTACAGAGTGGCCGTATTCAAAGTGCCCAGGAATAAAATAAACCCGAGGGCTCGATTATACTACGCTCTGTGATGTTAACACAATGTTGTTATCAAAAGTGTGCATATAACGGACTGTTTATGTTAAATATATTGAGGCCCTGATGACCTGGTTAAAAACGAACCCGGAAGGAATGCACTCAATATACATTAGTAGAGGGCGCATTATATATACTCACTTAGGTTTCACATTGATTCAAAAGCGTCACATCGACGCTACGTAAGTTTGCCGGGCTTTGTTTCTCATGAACTAAGATGTGGAATTTCATTATTTACTAGTAGTAAAACATCCATATTCGCTAAATCAACCGTTTACCAACCTTATTTCTAAATTTAAAAAAAAAAAACATTCACAATGTTGTGTGGGTTATCTCAGAAACAAACTAAATGTTCACAAATGCGAAATGAACTCATTAGCAAGGACAGTGATTAGCTACGATCATTTTTCAACATTAGAACTTATTTCACACTGCGAAAACTAAACTGGTTTTTCAACAAATAAGACGTTATTTTTTAAATGTTATTATTATTATTATTATTATAAGTCAATGATTCACAGAAAATGTATCATGAAAATATCAAGATTTGATAAATATGCGACTGAAAATGAGAGCTGAATAATTTTTTTTCAAACACTACCGATTTCAACTCTCAAAATATATTTATTTATCAAATCCGTAGTTAATTGAAAGAGTTGAGCCTAATATCGACCGGACTAATAATGTTTTCCCCGTTAAATTTTATAGTGTTATTAGAAAATCTGAGCATTATGTGAACATTTTAATTTCTTTAATTAATTTTGAAATAAAATAAGTCTTGGCCCAAACCCACTGACTTCAAAATACAGGGCTGGTATACGAACGTAATCAGAAATTGGAATAGGCCCGTAAAAAATCAATGTCGTCTGCTTAAACTTCACTAAATCCAATAATTACATTTTTAATTGGTTATCTTTAATAATGAAATAAATAGCGTTAGAGCGGGAGGGTTTGCACCTGCGCACGCGCGAGAGTTGAGTCCCAAGCGACTATAAAAACTCACGCTAAAAACGCAAAGGCTCATGGGTAGACGCTTGTTTGTAAACAATGACACGCTATGGCCATCTGACGCATGCGTAGGTGACGACACTCCCGCTTTAATAACCGTCCATATTTCTGCTGCCACTTCTCACACAAGTCTTGCTACGATTTGATATCTCGTTACACGATCATATATACTAATTTACATTATATACATTCAGAGATGTTATTTTTCTATTAGCAGAACAACTATGCACAATTTAAGAAACTGTGCCTGCTTTTGCAACCGGTTTAAGTCGAACTACCAGAAGAGGACATTTACAACCATTGCTGGTGCAGTTAAAATCAAAGAGGATATCAAGAAGATCGATTTTGCAAATGCAAAACCGTTCAACGAAATACCAGGACCACGCTCTATACCGGTACTCGGAACCTCATATGAGTATCTACCCTTCGGTATTTATTTATTGTTTTATTGTACATCTAGTATAACTTATACACACACGGTTTTACGCTGCGCAGTAAGACTGCCAAAGTACAAGGTCCGATTTACAATAGTAATAATAGTGCAAAATATATAGTTATATAGAAAATGCCGATTCACAAGTGATATAATTCTGTTAAGTGATATAATTCCGTAGAGTGGCATATTTCTGTAGAGTGATATAAAAATATAGAGTGGTATAATTCTGTAGAGTGGCATACTTCTGTAGAGTGATATAAAAATATAGAGTGGTATAATTCTGTAGAGTGGCATACTTCTGTTAAGTGGTGATATAATTCTGTGGAGTGATACAATAATATAGAGTGGTATAATTCTGTAGAGTGGTATAATAATATAGAGTGGTATAATTCTGTAGAGTGGTATAATTCTGTAGAGTGATATAATAATATAGAGTGGTATAATTCTGTAGAGTGGTATAATTTTGTAGAGTGGTATAATTCTGTAGAGTGATATAATTTTGTAGAGTGGTATAATTCTGTAGAGTGATATAATAATATAGAGTGGTATAATTCTGTAGAGTGGTATAATTCTGTAGAGTGATATAATAATATAGAGTGGTATAATTCTGTAGAGTGGTATAATTCTGTAGAGTGATATAATAATATAGAGTGGTATAATTCTGTAGAGTGGTATAATTTTGTAGAGTGGTATAATTCTGTAGAGTGATATAATTTTGTAGAGTGGTATAATTCTGTAGAGTGATATAATAATATAGAGTGGTATAATTCTGTAGAGTGGTATAATTCTGTAGAGTGATATAATAATATAGAGTGGTATAATTCTGTAGAGTGGTATAATTTTGTAGAGTGGTATAATTCTGTAGAGTGATATAATTTTGTAGAGTGGTATAATTCTGTAGAGTGATATAATAATATAGTGGTATAATTCTTAGAGTGATATAATTTTGTAGAATGGTATAATTCTGTAGAGTGGTATAATTCTGTAGAGTGATATAATAATATAGAGTGGTATAATTCTGTAGAGTGGTACAATTTTGTAGAGTGATATAATTTTGTAGAGTGGCATACTCCTAGAGAGTGATATAATTCTGTGAAGTGGCAAGAATCCGTAGAATGGTATAATTCTGTAGTGTGGCATATTTCTGTTGAGTGTTGATATAATTCTGTAAGGTGATATATAGTTCTGTATGATTCTGTAGAGTGATATAATTATGTAGAGTGGTATATTCCTAGAGAGTGGTATAATTCTGTAGAGTGGCATACTTCTGTTAAGTGGTGATATAATTCTGTGGAGTGATACAATAATATAGAGTGGTATAATTCTGTAGAGTGACATAATTTTGTAGAGTGGTATAATTCTGTAGAGTGATATAATTATGTAAAGTGGTATATTCCTAGAGAGTGATATAATTATGTAGAGTGGTATATTCCTAGAGAGTGATATAATTATGTAGAGTTGTATATTCCTAGAGAGTGATATAATTATGTAGAGTGGTATATTCCTAGAGAGTGGTATAATTATGTAGAGTGGTATATTCCTAGAGAGTGATATAATTATGTAGAGTGGTATATTCCTAGAGAGTGGTATAATTATGTAGAGTGGTATATTCCTAGAGAGTGGTATAATTATGTAGAGTGGTATATTCCTAGAGAGTGATATAATTATGTAGAGTGGTATATTCCTAGAGTGATATAATTATGTAGAGTGGTATATTCCTAGAGAGTGATATAATTATGTAGAGTGGTATATTCCTAGAGAGTGATATAATTATGTAGAGTGGTATATTCCTAGAGAGTGATATAATTTTGTAGAGTGGTATATTCCTAGTAAGTGATATAATTATGTAGAGTGGTATAATTCTGTAATTCTGTTCTTGGACTTATATCACTTGGTTATCCCTATGTAGATTTTGTAACTTGCATTTTAGTAGCAATAACAGTTATTTTTAAAATGCAGATTGTAATCGCCTTAGTATTTTTCACATTAGTAACAACCACAATTTTCAGTCGTATATATGTCGATTAGTAATTCGCTCACTTTTTTTAGTGTCAGGCACATCAGAACTGACATCTTGGCTACGCGTAAAAGTTTTGAATTTTAGAGGAACGTGTAAGTTCTTCCCCAACTGTTGAAAAAGTTGGTAAAGTAAGTTCAAACCTCCGCTTTTGTAACGGTAACCAGACAGCACCAATAACCCTACTCTATGACGGATTTAGTCTGTGTTTAGGCAAATGGCAACGCTCCACTGATAGCAATGGGCGAAGTAATTATTACTTTTTCATGGAAGAATTTTTTTCATTATTTTATTACAGGGCCATACTCACTCCATGCATTACAGGACGCATTGTTGGATAAATACCGTAAGTATGGCAACATATGGCGCGAGACGTTTGCTTCAATACCAGCTGTGAATATCATTCTGCCAGACGACATCGAGACACTGTTCAAAAGCGATGGAAGTACTCCAATACGACTTGCTATTGAACCACTCAAACTCGTCAGAGAGAGGTTTCAAATGCCTATTGGTTTGGCGAATTTGTAAGTGAAGTTTTGTTTATTAGTTTGTAATAATATAATTGTTTTACTCAGGCCCTAACTGATTTTTGATTCCGATTTCGCAATGAACGCGCAATTGTCTGGAAACAGAAAGTTTGAATTTCTTTCAACCCGACCTTCATGCAAATTGTGATTATAATTTTCTTTTGAATCAATCAGATCACCAGGAATCAACAAAGGTAATTGGGTAACCTTTTCGGGGGAAATATTTGTCAAAACTTGCCATTTTCCACACACTCATGATTGCAAGAACATCACATTTAGTTTGTACACTTTTCTATGAATAGTCAACGTCGACAGGCTTGTGGTTCTCAGTTTTATCACCATTCGAATTATTGAAAAGATGTCTTACATGTAACTTACTATTGTTTAAAATTTACAGGCAAGGTAAGGAGTGGCGCAAAATAAGAAGTAGTATGCAGAAATTTATTCTGAGACCTGCGGAGATTTCCAACTTTATTGAAGCCCAAGATATAATCGCTGATGACTTCATCAGTCTTATGAAAGAATTACGAACTGAGGACGGAGAAGTTCCTGATTTTCAACGGCAAATATATAAATGGGCACTGGAATGTGAGTACACGCTGTGTGAATTCGAAATAACGCTATGAATTTTATCAAATCTCAATAACTGAATCTTTGTGTAAATCTTACGTGATCACGTGGGTACCCTAGTGTAAGAAATGAAGGGTTGTGGATATTTTGTGTTGCTATAGTGATGAACAACCAAACAAATAAATTATAAAATAATGAAACAAGTGAAAAATTATGTCACAATTCAAGGTTAGTTTTTATACCCACTAATGCAACCTGTAATGTTTGAAAGATATTTAGTGAAAACAACTATAGAAAAAAATGCAATAACAAATTTGTCCACGCACAAGTATAACTTGTAATGCGTGAAACAAATCACTCTCACTGATGAACTATATTTTGGTGGCTAGGCCATTAGAATAGATGGGACTCTAACAATTGTTAATGGCAGAACCAGTCAAATTGTCAATTTACTGGTCAAGACAGGCTAGAGAAGATAACATAAACAACAGAAAGCTAGTAACAATGAATAGGTAAAAGGTTATGACGCATTTATACTCTAAATCATTCATGACTTTTCGTGGTTAATAAGGCGTTGCTCTGTGGGGTATTGAAACCGTCTTTAGTGAAGATGTAGTGCTGGTATAAATCGATTCATGGTGACCAAACGCCACAGTCGGACGGCGCTAATGTCATGCCTATGCACCCCGTAGACGAGTTTAAAATATTGCAAATTCACCTTCCCTGAATCGGGTATTGTATTTCTTTTCTTGCCGATTTGACTATTAAGTTTAGTGTAATATACTTCTCACTTGTTTTGTAATATACTTCTCACTTGTTTTGTTATATTGTTTTAGCTTGTTTTGTTATATTGTTTTAGCTTGTTTTGTTATATTGTTTTAGATTGTTTTGTTATATTGCTTTAGATTGTTTTGTTATATTGTTTTAGATTGTTTTGTTAAATTGTGTTAGTTGTTTGTTTTGTGCCAACGATTGTTTTGATGGCAGTCCTAGAGTGAGAATTAGCAAGTGATTAAAAACTAAACAACAACGAGCATCAGAGGTTAAATCCATGGAAGCTTCTTGGTTGAGGTGTCTACAAACCACCGCATTATAGTGGGAGTCACACTGTGATATCATGGATACTGTTGATTTGGTTGTGCCCATTGATTGTTAACAGCTTGTATGTCTGGTCTTGCCAATTTTGGACAACTTATTCATAGTACCATTATCTTGTCACAGATTAGGCGTTGTTGTCCATATGACAATGATGTGTATCCGGCCATTATATATAAAACGCAAGAAGTTATTGTTCAACCCGACACTCTAAAACCAATAATATTATCGGATCAGCTATTATTTTGGCAAAATTAGCTCAATATTTCGATAGTTCATCAATTATTTAATTTGAGTAAATTATGCCTAGCTTCTATGGTGTAAGTTTTCTTGTTTTCTTGACACCATGTGTTGACACAATGTGTTGACGCCATGTGTTGACACTATGTGTTGACGCCATGTGTTGACACTATGTGTTGACAACATGTGTTGACACTATGTGTTGACACCATGTGTTGAGACCATGTGTTGACACTATGTGTTGACACCATGTGTTGACGCCATGTGTTGACGCCATGTGTTGACACCATGTGTTGACACTGTGTTGACACTATGTGTTGACACCATGTGTTGACACCATGTGTTGACACCATGTGTTGAAACCATGTGTTGACACCCTGTGTTGACACCATATGTTGACGCCATGTGTTGATGCCATGTGTTGATGCCATGTGTTGACACCATGTGTTGACACTAAGTGTTGACACCATGTGTTGACAACTATGTGTTGACACTATGTGTTGACACCATGTGTTGACACCATGTGTTGACACTATGTGTTGACACCATGTGTTGACACTATGTGTTGACACCATGTGTTGACACCATGTGTTGACACCATGTGTTGACAACATGTGTTGACACCATGTGTTGACACCATGTGTTGACGCCATGTGTTGAAGCCATGTGTTGAAGCCATGTGTTGACGCTATGTGTTGACGCCATGTGTTGACACCATGTGTTGACACTATGTGTTGACGCCATGTGTTGACGCCATGTGTTGACACCATGTGTTGACACCATGTGTTGACAACATGTGTTGACACTATGTGTTGACACCATGTGTTGACACCATGTGTTGACACCATGTGTTGAAACCATGTGTTGACACCCTGTGTTGACACCATGTGTTGACGCTATGTGTTGACGCTGTGTTGACGCCATGTGTTGACGCCATGTGTTGACACCATGTGTTGACACTATGTGTTGACACTATGACTGTGTTGACGCCATGTGTTGACGCCATGTGATGACACCATGTGTTGACACTATGTGATGACGCTGTGTGTTGATGCCGTGTGTTGACGCCGTGTGTTGACACCGTGTGTTGACACCGTGTGTTGACACCGTGTGTTGACACCGTGTGTTGACGCCATGTGTTGACGCACATGTTCATACATTTTAATTCATTAGCGGTGGCAGCAATCGCACTTGACACTCGTCTGGGCTGCATATCAGCACATCTTGATCCAAGTTCAGAACCAAGTGTCATGATAGATGCTACTAGGATATTTATGAATTTAATGGGGAAGCTGACGTTCTCATCGGGGCTGTATAAGTATATCAGTACACCATCGTGGACACAATTTGCTCGTGCCGGAGAGACGTTATTAAGGTAGGTTAGTAAGATCGTTCATATAAACACAGCCTCCGTGCGTCGTTTGGCAGCTAAGCTTGGATTTAACCAGTGAGTTCAACTGAATTTACAAAGAATTAAACACTATTTTTATCTCCGTATAATTGATTATAAATAACGGTTTGTGGGAGATATGAATAATTACAACATTTCCCAGCTGGAATTGTTAAAGGTTGCCAGATAAGTTCAAATATTAATAAATATTGGTTGGTTTCTGCAAATGAGCGTCTTGCAGTGTTGACAGTGTTTTTCGTTAACTTGTAGTATTGTGTCAAGCCTACATCTAATTTTGAATATAACAAAAACTCTTTGAAATATTCGAAAGTGAAACCCCTTCTCTACCTGGATATAATCAATTATGTATACTTAAGTGTTTTGATATAGATTGTACTTGTCTCAGAGCTCCAAAAGTATGTAGAAAACACTGTCTGGCTATAAAAAAAACATATTTTTCAGGTTTGGATCCTCCATCAACTTTAAATGAACGGTTTGAATATGTACCACAAAATACTAAATAACTATGGTTTCAGAACAGAAAAATACAGTTAATGAATTAGTATGCTTGATTTTACAAGGTTTTTTACCATGCAAGTTCTTTTTTTAGATATTGTATTCATCAACTCCTGGGATCCATGATTTCGAGTTCAAATTATAAGATATGATTAATCTCTCCAACTGAGTTATAACCCAAAGCTTTACAATTATAATACGAGATTTTGTCTATAATAGTAATTCGATTGTTATTGTGCTATTATTACTGTATGATGTGAAGTCAAATTATTTAGGATTTTTTTATTACAGCCATTTTGACATCACAGGACGCTGCGAATGCACACGCATAATAATTATTTATCTTGATATCATTATATTATATTCAAAAGAATAACGCAGAAATATACTGAAGCAGCCATTCAGAAGATTAAAGAGGGTCGTTTTGAAGAAGGACAAAGTAAATATTTACTTTCCCTGTTGGCAATGAAGGATCTTTCTTATAAGGATATTCTAATATCTTCAAACGAACTTATTACTGGCGGCATTGATACGGTGTGTACACGTTTATAGCTTCATAATATGATGTGCAGTTTGTTTACAAATACTAGTTTTATTAGTTCCTGACACTCTTAAGACGGGCTACATATGAAACAAACACGACTCCTGAAATTAAAGGTTGTCAACAAACTTGATTTTATTTGCATAAGACCAATAATAGAATTGTCAAAAACGGCAGTGTTAATCTTAGAATTCAGAATTTTCGTCACACCAATATATTTTTGGCTACCTGCAGCCAAGTTATTGTTATAACGCAAACCGCAGTGCTTTCTGAACACGTCTAAAACATCTCTAGAAATGAACTTTCTAATTTACCGGACGTTGATTTCGGATCGTTCATATTGCTCGCTTTTAGACCTCTCACACCTTGGTCTTCAATCTCTACACCCTCGCAACAAACCATGAAAAACAAGAGAAGGTATACGAGGAACTGAACAGAATACTCCCTGACAAGAGCCCAATAACACCAGAAGCATTAAAAAGTATGCGGTATTTAAAAGCATGTATTAAAGAAACATTCAGGTATGAATCCACAATACATATAACAATCAGTTTTCAAATGAATATACAACATTTTGTAAGGAAACTAAACATTAAACAAGCCTGGCGGGTTATATGGTATCACATCTAATAGTATATCACTACATCTGTTCCTTGTACTTTGCTTTAGGCTATTCCCATTGGTGCCTACTAATACAAGAGTAACTGCCAAAGATCTAGTGATGAGTGGATACCAAATCCCGAGTGGAGTATGTAACCTAATATATATAGACCAAACACAGATTCATTGGAATAAAACTTGCAAGAACTTGCAGGATTATGTCATATGTTCTATTTTGACATGAACCAAGCATTTTGTAAATGATATATTATTTTTTTTTTAAATGCATGTACATGGTGCTGTTCAGCCAACCTAAATGTATGAATGAAATAATTACCAACAACTTGTGTTCAATTATTAGAATATGTCATTTCTCAGTGGTCAAATAGGGTTTTGTGCACACATCATGTCAATTCGATGTGGGTAGAGGATTTGTCACATTTATAAGAGTTCTTATTGGCGTGTTTATTCCCGGGTCAATGTAAAAGTTATATTATAATAATAATGGTTTATATTCCAATACAGACAATGGTTGTAGCACCAAATATAGCCAGCAGATTGCCAGAATACTTCCCTTCCCCTGATGAGTTCATCCCAGAACGCTGGCTGAGAGGTGGGGACATGCATACAGACACAAGTGGGTTTGCTCATCTTCCGTTTGGCTTTGGGGCCAGAATGTGTATTGGAAGAAGAGTTGCAGAACAGGAATTACAACTTGCATTGATAAAGGTGAGTTGTTTTATCGTGGGTTTCTTATTGTAATAAGTGCTAACCCCCCCCCCTATTAAGCTCTAACAGGGACTTTCTTATTTTCTAATGCTCATGACCTGTACTGATCCATAATTAATATCCTACATTGCTGGTCGAGAATGAGTGTACTACAGAATTGGACCATGAATCATTTATAGGGTGTAATAAGTGTGACCAAATCGATCTGTAATTAGCTGACTATTATTGTAGTAAAGCATTGATAAGAAATTATACCAAATATAATATTATTTAATCAGTTTGTCTAAAAATGTTCTTGTTTATCATAAATATGTTTTCATTTCATACATTTCGATATTATGATGATAATTCTCTGATACAAAATATACTTTACCGTTTAACATCATACATCGTCCATATAACAGCAAGCATGCTATATTTGAAAATTGCAATTATCAATCTGAAAATCTGTTTATATTTTCAGTTGGTCAAGAATTTTAGAATTGAATGGCATCATGGTAAAATGGGCGTGTATTTTTATATGCTCCACGTACCTGACAAACCAGCAAGATTCGCTTTCATTGACAGATAGTGCCAGTTGGCTTGATAACATTCCAAGGAGGATTATCCAGATTTCGAAATTCAACGTTATTCATATAATCACATATATCCTTTGTATCTATTTTGTGTCATAAATTCCTTATTCAATAATGGTACTTATATAATGGATAATATAGCTTTCAGAATGTATATAACAATGTAATATCAGTAAAGAAACATTATCCGTTTGAATTACAATAAACACGTTTGTATAGTGGAATATTATTGATATCTAGAGAGGGGTAAGCCCAGATAATTTCATTTAAACATATCTTTGATCGACGGTTTTCAACCAGCTTTTGAATTAATCCACATGTGACACCCCCTTCCAGTAAATTGTGCTGTTTATGTAAATTGTCTCAGAATTCATGCACATTTTAGATTTGCTCGGGTATCTTTGTTATTCATGGGATTCGTGTCATGAAAAACCTGGCTTAGAATGTACGCAACTTTATGTGTTATTGTGTTATTTGGCTTAGCTCAAACCTATTTGTGTCTTCTGTTAATATTTGCATATTTGCCCAGTTCTACCTTTAGCACATATATTGTCCCGCTCTAAAGCTGTGAGACACCAATTACCCATCAGCAAGGCTGTGAAATTTACGTTTAAATTGCCATGCATAATATAAAAAATTACGAATGCCACAGCTGAGAATTTTCTATCTAGAAAGTATTCGAAAATTTGGCTTGAGATGACAGTATGACGCCGCCACTCGATCAATAATACTAAATATCCATCAATATATTTCAGAAAAGCAGTGAAACTGTCGTTTTTTAAAAACATAAAACAAAATATGGTCATCACGTTTTGAACAAGCTTTTGGAAGACTCAAGACAGCACCCCTGCTAAATAAAAACAAATACTCACCCTTCCTCAACTCGAGAGGGCAGTATCACCATTGTTAAACTGGTATTCCATTATCAGCTGTCCTAAATATATTATTCTATCGGACTTTATGACAAAAAAACTTGCAATTGATAAAGTGTGATGCTCTGTAAGCCAGGCCTTGTTGCAATGTCCATTGCTTTTGTTTATACGTGTCATACTAAAATTATAACTTGTATCGCGCAATGTAGGGTTCGCATAGTCATGTAATGGCATGACTTCATTTCCCACCGTTTTATTAAAAATTATACCAGCATGAACAAGTCCTAAACTTGTCCGTGGAATGTTAGCAAAAACCAAACTCTTTTAATATGACAGATTGATTTGAGGAGGTGCGTTCGTGAGTCAACTTCTTCTCGGATCATGTTGGTTATTTCTTGATTTGAATTTTGGCGGGTAAAGGTCTTATTGGCAATAATGCAACCCTACTTTTCAATTTTGTACATTGTTGTATATGAGTGGTTTAAATGTTGCGTGATGCCTTGATCTCGGTCAAACCATTTATTGAGCGTAAAATAAAAGTTTCTTGCGGATATACCTTAATGCGCTTATTGGCATATGTATGTATAAGTTGCATACCCTTTGTACCATCGTTGATGTAATGCATGAAATCGATCACAATACCATATACCATATAATAACTCGTACATATAGGTATTGTTGACATTGTTATGTTCAGCGCCATGTTCTACATGGGATCATTTACAATCTTATGACACTGAGAGGGAACGATTCAAATGTTTATGTACCAACTGAGACTTATTACAATAATGACATTAAGTATTAGAATAAATTACCACAAATTTAAACAGATAACGAAAAAACACCTGGTAAATTTGTCAAAGTAATTTTTGATTTTTGTAAGATGTGTGTCATAGAATGTTATATCAATTTGTACATACAAATTTGATTTTTTAATTGATTGTGTATATATTATTGTCTTTATATTGTACTTTTTATCTTGTAGTGAGGTTGGGGATGTATAAAATTGTAATATTACTGTAACCGAATAAAATATATATTGACCAGATTATATATTGATTTTTAATTGATCGTGTGTATATTAATGTCTTTATAATATATTTTTGTATCGTTGTGTGTTTTGGTGTTTCCCGTGGGCGTGGTGATAGAACCCTACTAGAAATAAGTTGCACTTGCGACTTTGTATGATATCCTATTCATGTATGTTGGTTACATGGGGCTTAATCTTTGTATTTGACAGCGAATTAAAATAATTCATTTAGTGTTACTGTTATTGCACCCGAAATATTGTTACTGTTATATGCGCTAATTATGCGCACTTTTAAACGACTAAAAAGAAGAAAGGAAGAAAACTTTAACATTAGGTCATTATAGTTAGTAATCAATATCATTTACGAGAATTTGGTAATATGCTCTGTCTAGTACGGGGGCGGGTAATGCTAGAATAAATATATATTCTAAACTGTATAGTTCCATATTTTCAGGTACAAAATGCGCGTTTTTGCACGGTGACTTTTTTCATGATGTTCATGAGACATCGGCAATAATGAAAGCCGTCATATAATATAAGTTTTCCCAGGTATGGTTCACATCTTCGCGGCTGGTTTTCACGGATATGTCACGGCCACACCACAACGTTTTGTTTTCTCAGAAATTAAAAAAAAAAACAGGAAATCAAATAAACATATGTAACAGTCACTGAATTGAATGAAACAATATACATAATCAAATATATATACACAGGATCTACACAAAAACAAGTTCACGTTTTAAAACACAAGTATTTTCAAATTTCTGTTGCATGCATTCAATATTTGTTTTCTGCCAGGACAGCAGATACAAAGTTGTTACAGTTGAGTTCAAGCAATGCATAAATTACGTCGACAAAAATAACAATAAAGAATTTGTTCTCTGATTGGCCTGATTGCTAAGTGTCTGGTAGCCAATCAGGCACAGTTTTATAAGTAGCTTTGCACTGATTCGTTGCTGGGTGAAGTTGTAGCTGTTACGGTTCATTAACCCTGGCATCGTAAGAACCTTGCGTACAATACAATACAACAAAATCATTAATTTGTGACACCCCATTGAATTTATTATCACCAATATAATAAATGTACTTATTAATTTATCTCTTGAAATATTAATATATGATATGACATTTATTCACAATCTCCATGCTTGACATTACTTGGACATTCTGTTAATATCATTTAGTTACAGTGAACATTCAGAAATATCTCTAACTTGTTTCAAAATCTTGGCGCATTCGACATATAAAAGACAACGGCAATTGAAACACATAGTTGCCAAATCATTTATTTAAAAAAATGAACACAAGTAGCCCTAATAATTGCACACCAACATTCGTGCTCGATAATAACCCTTTAAAGGGTTTAAAGTGCGATTCGAGCAAATTATAAGCATTGCCACTAAAAACCAATGAAAAAGAGAGTAAAAAACTTTCTTGCATGGTACATCCACAGCACCACCGATTTTTTTCCAAGGTATCTCACAACACCGCACCACCACGTGTTGTATCAAGTGGTATGTTACGATGAAAGTGGCGATGACATTTTCTCGCAGCCACCTCCGATAAGGCTATGTAATGCGTTAGTCGCGCCTTCGTTCATGTGAATATGATCAAATACTTTTCAATAATTGCATTAGTTCCCAATATTCAGCTTCATTAAATTTACTTGTAAAGGTTATAGTTTATACACTAATTATTTGATAGGTAATTTAAACACTGTTTCCTGTCAGTGAGAATAGTACTCTTCATTAAATGTGCTCGATGATGTACTGGCGCGTTTTGGTCGTGGGCGCGTGTGTTTGCGCGTTCCACGTTGCGTTGACGTAATTTAATATATTTACTGGCATATTTATACATTTCGTGTTCACTTTAAAACTGTTCCGGGAATGTATTGTCAGGTTATGTGCCGGGAATTCACATTTAGAAATATAAGTAAGCATGTGTCCAAATCGAACTTTGAGAATGAGTGGCATTTATTATTTAAACGTTATAAAAGACGAAATTTACATTTTACTTGAATGTCACATTTATTACAACTTGAACCAGATACTACTTGCCCCTTTATGTTTTGAATAAATTGTGTATGCGTATTTCTACGCTAAACAAATGGTTTATAATATAAATTTAGTGTCTGAAATGTTTGACGTCAATATCGAAATGATTTACTTTGTCATGCTCCCTGTCTACTATGTAATGTCAACATTTACTAGTAATTTTATTTTTATATTCTACATATACTTTGTTAATTTTAGCCTGAATAAATAAATAATTACCCTGAATACAAATTTAACAGATGTGTTTATATACCGTGAGTAAAGTGATGTAGTTATTGTCAATAGAGATCATAGTTTTAAAACACAGATATTCTAACAAATGTTCCTGAACTGGCTCAAAACATTCTATATATGAAGGATACCACAAAGACTAATTGGCATTACTACAATGTTCAAGTTGGATATAAGCTTATCTCAGCTGATATTAAGATATAGTTGTTGTTTTTTAAATTGCTCTGAAACTAAAAGTACGCCAAGTCATTAGAACTTGAGACTTTCAAATGAGGTTTATTCGACAATAACATACTCATTCATGTTATTCACGCAATAAAGTTATTAGCATACATTGAGCAAAAAGAATGTAAAACATCGGATAAATCATAATAAATGTTTCAGTGAGCGATTCCCGATGACAGCAGACTCTGAACCAGACAAGATGGCGGTGTGTGGTAATTAATGACAAAACGCTGGAATCGTTTACATAAATATGACTAAAACCAGGACAACATTTTAAAATGGAATTCATACAAACAAAGCTCATGAAAGAGAAATGTATGTGAAACTGAGTCGAAGGTTTAACATTATTGGTTATTAAATTGAAGTAGGACGTTTACAACAAGTTTTGCAGTTATATTTCATATGTATTAGTTTTCAAACTGGAAGGGAGGACGATCGGGGAAGATTTCGCTACATTTGCTCGAGATTAGACTTTAACTTTTCAGTTCGAGGATAGCTTGTAGATTTGGTCACGGATGTAAGAACTATCTAACACACTTTGCCGTAGATAGTGTAGCATTTATAACCTCGTTATAGAATATCCG